ACCGGGGACATGACTAACCATGATTAGTTTGTACACTTTGCAGAGGTTTGCGCACTTTTCCCCACAAGACTTGACCTCCTCCGTTGGATTTCTCGCCTACATGTATTTGAGAAATGGATGACCGAGACACAGTCTTTCAGAAACATTAACTCTTTACTCTGGATGGACAATTACACCTACTTTCCCCTACATCTGCTAGCCCATCATTGAAAGAGGTCATGCAACTTAATCAACTATGCTAGAGCCCATAATAGCTTGTAGCTGCACAAGGAAGTTTCTAACATGAATAATCTTATGATCCCTTTGAGCCAGGGTGGCGGACCTTAGGATGATCACACGGAACCCCAGGATATCCTAGGACAACTCTGGATTCTCCAGGTGCCCACAAACGATCCATCCAGATGTGTATTTAAGTAGCCACCTTAAGTTAACCATTAAATAGCAATACTCACATCTATCATGGATACACTCACCCAAACCACGTCTACGAGCATAGCATAGCAAAATAAGCATAACATAGATGTAACTCCCAAAGGTTTGATAATAATCAGGGCAATAAGTTATACCTCATCATCTACTTCCCAAAGCCCACATGTTATTCAGATCCTAACCATGCAATGTTTGAGGGGTGATCTAATGCAGTAAAAACTAGGTAGTAAAGAGATATGATCAAAGTGTTACTTGCCTTGCTGATGATCTGCAAAACCTAGAGACTCGTAGTAGCACGCTTTGCACTCCGGGTATTCTATCGCAAACAAACAACATACATAAGCACTCAATTAGAAGCACGCATAAAAATAAAATAAAAGAAGATCTAACCAAAAAGTTCAACTTAAGAACTCCGGTTTGCAAAAAGAAACAAATCAAACGAAGTAACGAAACTCAAACTGCGAAAGAAACAAGATCTATTTACTAATCTGGACTAAAATCAAATTTTTACAGCACCAAAACTTGTTCAAGTTGGTTAAACAGAAAGAGGGCTTCGAGACGAAGATCTAGGCGCTTGAATCGCCTGATTCCGATAAATGAGTGAAAAGATAAACTAAAACTAAGATCAGAGCAGAAATCGCGATCGAAAATAACCGCGAAAAAACCCTGGAAAAAGAAAAATGACGAACAGGCTAACGAAGGAACATTCGCTGTCTGCGGCTAATGGATGAACACCGTTCGTAAAAACGAATGTACGGACGAACGTCCGCTAAATAACTAAATCGGAAAAAACGGAACCGATCTTATATAAAAATACGAAACTAGGGTTTAAAAAACCCCGGGGTTTTTACCTAAAACCAGAAAAAAAAAAACGGCGGCTGGATCGGGTCGGGACCGGCTGCTCCAGCGGCGTCTCCGGAAAGGCGGGGCGCTGCAGGGCGACGGCGTACCGCGGCGGCGGCGAGCGGCGCGGCGGCGACGGCGGGTTGCGGCTGCTACTGCTGCTTTGGAGGCGGGATGGGGTGGGGCGCGGCATATAAAGGGGGCGGGACGAGGGCCGGCTTGGGGAGGGGCAAGCCGCGGCGGCGGGGGAGTCCCGGACTCCGGCGGAGTCCGGCTCGGGCACGGGTGCGGGCGCGAGGGAGGCGGCGGGCGGCACAGACTTGGCCCGGCTCGGCTGGGCCGTCGACCCAGTCGGGCGCTGACTTTTTTTAAAAATATTCCGCCGAAGAGAAAACAAATGCTAGAAAATAAAATAAAATTCTAAAAATGCCAAAACAAATATTCACCGTCTAAATAAAATATTTAGAATAAAGTGAACATTTTCTTGGCCTAAAATGCATTTTTGAAAATTATGCATATTTTTCTAATGCAAATAAATTAGCAATAAAACTCCAATAAAACTAAAATTTGATTTTAATATTTTTCCTCCAATATTTATTTTATTTTGGAGAAGTCATATTATCTCCTCTCATTTATTTTGATATTGGAAACATTTAGTAGAGAAAAATAATTGAAACCAAATGATCCTCTTTTCGAAATTTGAGAAAACTCAAATATGAAAATATCGAAATCCCCAACTCTCTCCGTGGGTCCTTGAGTTGCTTAGAATTTCGAGGATCAACCAAAGATGCATTAAAATATGATATGCAATGATGATCTAATATATAACATTCCAAATTAAAAATTTGGGATGTTACACATATCAAGCAACACTTTCAAGAAGGAACACAACAATGACGACGCTGATACCCGGACATCTGCTAGGGTTTCCCACTATACACGAAGGGGCGCGGGGGAAGGGGTATATCCGCCGCCCTTCAAGAAGGCACGACAGCGCCCACGGGCATCACTGCATCGGTGCTGGTCAAGCCGACAAGGGTTTATCCCAACCGCCAACCAACCATGACCCCAGCAGCATAGAGTTGGATCTAGAATTTGGTGGCTCCACTTAATTATTATTGCAGGAAGTACCGGAACATTTCTCCGAGATAAGAATTGGGCTAAACAATGAATTGGCAATGATAGGAGAAAGCACTCTAAGTAACACGAACATATCGAATTAACAAACTTTTTTTTAAAAAAAATTTAGTGTTCTGAACATTTTTGTAAAGCATGAACATTTTTTAAAAACATTAAAAATTATTAAAAAAATGAAATTTTAACAAACGAAAACATTTCTTATGAAACCCAGATATTCTGAAAACCTGTAAACATTTTTCGAATTCTAGCGACGCCTTTTTCTATAAACTGCGAACAGTTTTTATTTCAAATTAAAAAAATACGTAATTGAAAGATAGAAAAACAGTAGGAAAAATTCAAAATGAGAAAATGAAAAAAATGCAAGAACAATAAACAAAATATTATAATGAAAACAACATAATAAGAGAAAAACGAGCCGGAATCCTTTTTCTTTTTTTGCCTGAGTGGGCCTGGGTCACCCCTAAAAAAAAGAGTGGGCCTGGATCTGGCCTAATGGGCCAATCAATGCAGCATGCCTAGTTGTTGTCTCAAAAAAAAAAAAAGGTGTGTCAGCGTGATGGATCGCTCCTGCATTATTCGCAAAGGAAACCCTAGCCTGCCGCAGCTCCCGAAGAAACGATCGAGCATGGCGACGCCGAGCAAGTCCGGCTTGGAGCAGCACTTGTTCCGCATCACCCTCTCTTCCAACTCCAACAGCGTCCACGACCTAGACAAGGGTACGTATTCCTTCTTCTTCTTGTTGTTGTTGTTGTTGTTGCTGTCTTCTTCTTCTTCTTCTTCTTCTTCTTGCTGTCTTCTTCTTCTTGATATGTATATGTATGAACCCTAACTAACCCTTGTGTCATTGCATGCATGCTGGCGACAAAACAAAACAAAACAAAATCAACAGTGTGCTCCGACGTGGTCAAGGCCGCCAAGGAGAAGCTGGTCCGGGTGAAGGGCCCGGTCAGGATGCTCAACATCACCACGAGGAAGTCACCCTGCGGACAAGGATGCGCGTGCACAAGAGGGTCGTCGACCTCGTCGGTTCCCTGGACGTCATTAAGCAGTTCCCAGTCCCCATCCCGCCCACCGTCCACGTTGAGGTCACCATCACCGACCTTTAATGTGTTTTTGCAACATACATACGGAGTAGATGGGTGGCCTTTTTGTGTGTGACGGCTGGTTTCTGAGATGCGTATGTACCTTCTTGGCATTGTGATTCAGAGTAACAGCTCTCGATTGAGATTGAGTTAGGGTGTGTTTGTCACATCTAGATGTGACCTAGTTAGTTATTGCACAGCTAGGCGGCTCAATCAAGCATATATATAATCATCTGTGCCTTAAACGTATCCTAATGCCTGAAAGTTGGATAGGCTGGCCCTTACGTAAGGATTATATAATCACCGAGAGTTTTGTCTCATTTTAGGATCATCCAATATTTGTCTTTGCTACATGTGTATGGTATAAATATGTGCCTTTTTACGGTATTCCTCTTCATGCATGTACCAAATACTCCTCTGTAACTTTTTATATAGTAACGTTTCTAGAGTCCATGACAGTGTCAAAAAACGTCTTATATTAAGTTACAGACGGAGTATATCTGACTGTCCATGCACGAAGGCAACTTAGTAGTAATGCCTAGCTACCAATTGATCCCAGCCCCAGAACATATATAGCCCAGTTATGCATGCAAAGATCTTGATACTTTCTTGTTTCATCTGCCGCTGATTGCTGCAGATGCACTGACCTTGATACTTTTTGGCTTTGCTCACAAGTTTTTCCCCATGAATATTAACTTAAGAATAAAGTTGAGCTTAAGAGCTCAACTTCAAGCCCTAACTCCTCTCTTCTTCTTCCCATACAACCCAATCGAACCTTAAGAGGGCCCTTAAAACCATAGGCCTCGCCTAGCACTATTCAACTTTTACACCGCAACCGCCTCATCGCAATCTCTATCTTGTGCCTCGATTAGTTTTTGAGCACCATCTTGTGGACACTCAGTGATTTGTATGTACTGATAATTAGGCCTATTGAAGCAGATGGCTACGGAGGTTTTTTCCCAACATGGATGACAGCATAACCTGCGGGCCGATCCACCACCCCCTTCGACATAGGCATAATGTCGGTCTATAGGACTCTACTGTTGCCAATTTGTCGATTTTTATTTCATGGTTTTTTGCCAGACTTCTGGATTTTGTTGTGTGCATCTAGTTATGCAGAGGCCGGGTGTTACTCATAATGCTCTGTATTCGCTTGATGCTACATTTTAAGATAATAAAGTCGCCCTTTATCAAAAAACTAGGCCTAGTAAATTAAGACATTATCAAATAACAAGATGATGCGTGCTAGCAGAGTGTCAAATATACATTTCATTGCTAATAAGCACTTCAAATATCCATAAAATCTATCGATATGTACAAAATTATCCATGTATTTTTCCATAGCATCCCAATCTTGAACATAAAGTTTTAGACAATCTTGAGCACACAATTATACATGAATATATATTTTGTAGATGATTTCGCCCAATCATTTATGAAATAGTAGTAACTTGGATGGATAGTCGCATATTACAATCAATGCATTGTAAACGACTATGCCATCTTTTAATGGTCGCATGTTGGGGGGTAGCACTCGCATTTGGCAGTCGTTAGAAATCCTAGAATATTTTTGTCTTTCTCGCGGTTGCGGCATTGGCCGTCATCCCATCCCTCCTTGATGCATGCATGTCGGCAATCTTCGTTCTCCCTACCCATGCAACTTTCCCAAATCTCCTTGTAACAATTATTCTCAGTACATGAAACCTCGCCTATGGATAAATGACACAATGTTAGCACAAGTACCATCAATGTGGATAACAACGCCAATGTGTCAGCACAAGTACTAACACAACACTATAGCAAAAATGCTGATATTATATATAATTATACTTACTAGAAGAGGCCATAAGCAAGATAAGAAGGAAAACACCCACAATGGCCTTCCTCACAGGTTCCATTGTAGAACAAGAGAATGTAGTTTAATTACAAAAGAGAAGCTCAAGAATGTAGTAATGATGTTGTGTACTTGGGTGCCCTAACTTTGTGAGGTTCTTATGGCGTTCTTGCACCGTAGACACTATAAATAGTTAGTTTTTTTAGCAATACACTAAATAGTTAGTTGTAAGGCCCATTGGAAAACAAGGAAGCTAAATTAATATGAGGTAAAGAAAGAGTGCAAAGCTAAGTAAGCTAAATTTGGCATGCTCCCTAGAACTTACAATGAACAGAGCATTAATGACCCCTCGAACTTTAGCATGCTAGATCAAATAAGTTTGCACATGGATAGGTGAAAATGCATGAATCTTCATATGGCATCAAAACTAAGATTGTTAATAAACATATGAACACATAAAATAGAAGGTCACTTAGGTTACAAACATACAAGTGTTCAATATGGCTACAAGAAGGAAACCCCAACATACTAAGTAATTAAAGCTTTCGTTCACATTACATACTCTCACTCTCCCTAACGGTTCCAGGTGATATAACAAAGGCACGGTAGTGAGCCCGAATTGCAAGGTTTGTAGAAAGTATCAAGTTATCCTCAGTGAGAACCACGGTATGGATCCTTGGAGGTACACACATCTTACACCAATGATAAATTTTGCAATACAGATAAAATTTCACTTATGTCCCCATCAACACAAATAAAGTTGTCAACCTTGCTAGATTTCCTAGTTATGCATGACAAAAGATAATGTGATAGGTAATAATTTTGTATTTTCGGAAAAATAATAACTAGACAAAAAATTGCAAGTGAAATTTATTGAATGTATTTTCGTCTACTCAAAACTGGACAAAAATAGCTCCCAGTTGCGGAGCTTGCCCGTCAAGCAAAGCAAAGGGTCAGGCAACTTGGCCCCGCCGCGCTGCCATTTGGACGGAATCAAAACAGACAGATCTTGAGGTAGGGGATCCTAAGCTATGCATCTAGGAGCGATGGTAACAAGCACACAAGAATTTTACCTAGGTTCGGGCTCTCCGAGGAGATAATATCCTACGTCCTACTTGTGTTCATTGCGTTGAAGTGAGTATTGAGTACAAGTATCTAACAAGGGATTTATTATGTTGTATACGAGCTAGGCCCCTCAGTTTATATAAGTACTGCGGGGTCCTAGGGTACATGGATCCTAGTTAGCTACATGGAAGCACATGAGTATCTCCTTCTTTTGTTCCCTTGTAAGAACAAACCTGGCCCTTGGCATCCTCCAATTTTTTCTGTCCACGGGTTGCCGCAAGTTTTGTTTAGGTCTGTCGCATAGTTTCATTACATCAAGTCTAGCCTTAGTGTTATCATTCGCCTTCTCGGGAATGTTGAGCAATGTGCTAAAAATGGCCTCTGTGATATCCTTTCAGTTTGCATTACATCAATGTTATGTGGAAGCTCGAGCTAGTGGATGCAGTGGAGATCCTAGAAGCATGGCTTGTGAGTCCAGACGTGTTCTTCACTATATCCCAAGAAATACCGTGAACATTTGGGATCAGGCTGGACAACGTCCAGTTGAGAACGAATCTGTTCACCCATCATCTCAGGTGGTGATGAGTGTTCGACGACTTCACCTTTCATTAAGTTTTCTTGTCGAGAATGCAAATGTTGTCTATGGAAATCGAAGCAAGAATACGTGCCACCATGCTCCAACAAACGACACTGAAGACCCGCCTTGCATCTTAGGCATGGGAACTGATAAGTCTCCAATGTATCTACTTTTTTAAACACTTTTTTTTTCTTATTTTGAACTCTAGTTTGCATGATTTGAATAAAACTAATCCGGATTGGCGTTGTTTTTAGTAGAATAATCTTGGTGTTATTTTTGTGCAGAAATAAAAGTTCTCAGAACTGGATAAAAATTTACAAAGATTTTTTATAAAATAAATAACAAATACTAGAGCAAAGAACTTCCTGAGAAGGACCACCAACAGGCCAAAAGCTTGGGAAGTGTGCCCACCCCCAGGGCGCGGCGCGCCCTGTGAGCTTGTGGGTCCCACGAGCCTCCGTCTGACCTAATCTCAAGCCTATATATTCCGTCTTCCTGAGAAAAACCCAGAGAGAAAACAACAAGAACACACATGATCTGGCCCACTAGCTCCACATGACACAAGCTATCGTCGGGCAAATAGTGAGATATAGCTCTCGCGTCAACTACGAGCATCCGTACGATCAGTTTTTTTTTTTTACTTTGGTTTATATTTCGAAATATCGTAAATATCCAAAATTTAATTTACTTATATTTTTAAAACCATTCATTGTACATTTAAAAAATGTGCACGCTATTCAAAAAATGATCCGGACATATAAAAAATATATGTGACATTTTAGAGAAAACAATGTTCATGCGTCTCAGAAAATGTTCTTGACATTTTTCTAAAAATGTTTATACAATATTTAAAAATTTAGTGTAATTAAGAGAAAATATGTTTTGCACCATTAAAAAATGTATGTGACATTTAAACAAATGATCACAACTTCCAAAATTATGTACATGACATTTTTGAAAAGTATTTATAGAATGTAAAAAAGTTGATTTGTACAATTCCGGGAAAAGTTTGTGACATTTTAAAAAATATTCATGTGTTTCAAAATATGTTCGTGATATTTTTTAAAATGGTTTATAATTAAAGATGTTCGCTTAATTTAATAAAATGTTTCGTACCATTCAAAAAATTGTCCATGACATTTAAAAATTTAAACACTTAACAAATGTTTTGCATGTTTAAAAACAATGTTCATCACGTTTTCAATGTGTATTTCAGAAAATATGTTTAACATTTATTTGAAAATTGTTGAGCTTGCATACCAAAAAAATGTTGAGCTTGCATACAAAAAATGTTCATCATCCAACGTATATTTGAAAAGGTTTGCATTGAAACATAAAAAGTTAATGCCAATCATAAAGAAAAACCAAAAGAACCAATGTAAACCGGTACGAAAAAGAAGAAGAAAACCGTGCAGAAGCTTCTAAAACCGGAGCAAATCAGTGGATAGAAGTTTCCGAAAACCAGTCCCAGAAAACCAACAGGAACACACATGGGCCGGCCAGGCGAGACGAGCAAGATATAGCACTCACGTCAACTATGAAGGTCCGCCTTGCGTGACTAGATTCACAAACCAGAAGAGACCTTCAGTTCAGGTAATCAAAGATGCTACATTTTGCAGCAACATTCAGGGCACATGTTTCCTCCAAGCATAGTACTGCTCAGGCGACTGAGTAAGCGGCGACATATCAATAGCAGAGTTGGGTCTAGGATTTCACAGCATAACCTACTTATTTTTGCTGCAACAACATTTGGAGGGAGCAACCAGGGCCGAGACAGTCTCCCCAACAACAAAGAATCGACCACGCTATACAATAACTGACAGTGACACAAGTAACACGAATATATATCGAATTAAACCGTGAACCCATGTCGGAAACATAAGCAGCGAATGTCCCTCCTAGCTCTCTCTAAATATCATGAATGAAGTATTACACTTGTTGGTACTATGTAGCACATCGAATAAGCCTTGTGGTTCGACTGTATCTTCCGCCCGCCCTTCCATTGTTCCCTTGCACACCGGGGTGCGCAGCCGGGGATCAGTCTTTCGACGAGCTGCTGCTCGCGCCACCCTTCTTCCCGCCGTATTTCTGGCAACGCAACCGGAACGGACATTATATGATGATGAATGAAACGGCAAAGGATAAAGGACGAGATGTAATGATATGCTATGCACACCCATGATACCAAGAGGAATTGATATCAACCAGTGGACGACAAAAACAGAGCAGCACCAAAGGAATTGATATCAACCAGTGGACAAGAAAAACATAGCAGCAGAGGCCGACTAACCTGCTTCCCGATGTTGAAGGGCACATATTTGTACTTGACCATGTGCAGAATCTGGCGCTTCATGGTGAGCACAAAGAGTACAATCCAGTAGCAGAGCAGTATAGGCCAGAAGACAGGGACGTCGAAGACGGAGAAGAATGTCATGACAAAAGCTATAACAAAAGCCTTTGTGATTGCATACCTGAAGCAAAGCAGGGGGAAACAAATGATCATGTAATAATGTATAGAGGACCGACTAATGTAATATCTGAAACAGAGCAAACATAAAGACTAGGTACATATGTTTGTGATTCTTGTCTCTAAGAAAGCTTGCAGCTAATGGTGGTTCTACTTGTATGGTGCTCAAATTCCATGGCCATAGAAGATGTAAACTCAACAATGCGTCAATGAGTATGATTAATGCTAGTATGAGTATATAGTTGACTAATGCTAGTATAACAAACAAATTAAACAAATAAATGAATGAACATGATTGACAGGGAGATTTGCGATCTGGATGATGACAGACACGAGTAGATCTGGATCTGGATCTGGATCTGGGTGATGGGTGATGGCGAGGGAGGAGTAGATAGATCTGATGGGAGGATGCATACCAGAACTTGAACTCTGGTAGCCTCCTGATGAAAGGCTTGAACTCGTCGGATCCGCGGGTGGGGAGGGCGGGCCCGTCGTGTGCGGCGGCGGAGGGGTCGAGCTCCGGGTCGACCATGGGGGAGAGGAAGCCGATGAGGAGGTTGAGGAGGTAGATCCCGAGGCCGTAGCTGACGATGTAGAAGCCGTGGATGGACAAGACCCGGAGCGCGTAGACGGCGGCCACCACCAGCGTGCCCACCCACCGGCCCGTCGCGTGCGGCGTCGACCGGTCCAGGTAGTACTGGAAGGCCCGCGTCGCGTCCGTCCGCCACTTGGCCGCCGCAGCAGCCGCGCCCCCGCCGCCGGACGAGTCGCCGCCGCCGCCGGAGTCCATGGTGGTGGTGGCCTAGTGGGGAGGGGAACCCTAGCGGAGCTGCCTGCTGGGAAGGGGGAAGGGGGTGGGGTTGGGGGTGGGGTTGGGGTTGGGGGGATCGGGAGGGAGGGACGACTGGACTCCGCTTTGTCTGTTTTGTGCTCCGTTGCGTTGGGTTGTGATTATGATTGTGATTATGATTATGATGATGAAACGAGGAGGTGTTTTGCCAAAATTTGCTGACTTTGACTAAATTTTGGTGGTTCCAAATATATTTAGAAACAATGTTAGTTTGGTCCAATCAATCTGTTTTATTTCACTCTCGGCACATCAACTATTTCTCGCCACTTCAATCGCCTCGGTGTTGCCTTCACATTCATAAGATAATTTCGGTCTTTGCCGTCCAGCTAATTCAAACATTGGTTACCCCAAGTGATCATCATCGTTGTTTTACCGACTTTGCGTTTTTCCTTTCCATCCATAAGCATCGAAAAGGAACATAGTACCTGCTACTTAGGTGAGAACCAAGGTTTATACTGAACCAATAGGAGAATCACACAAAAGCCTCACGAATAGCACATGCACACACAAAAAGCAAATACTCGCACCCAACAAGCAAGACCTTCAATTTGTTAATTGTAAGGATCAAATCTCGTAGCGGTAGATAGATAAACTACAAAAAAAAATAAAAAAAATTTGCAGCACTTTGGATTTTTATATATAATTAAAGTAGACCCGATGGCCATACTTTTCACTAGAAGCTTCTCTCTCGAACACATAGCATATCATGGATGAACAAATTACTGTTGGACAATTGATAGAAAAGCGCATAGTCATGACGATATTCAAGGCAATGATCATATACATATAGGCATCACGTCCGAGACAAGTAGACCGACTCCTGCCTGCATCTACTACTGTTACTTCACCTATCAACCGCTATCCGGCATCCATCTAGGGTATTAAGTTAATAAAAACAGAGTAATGTCTTAAGCAAAATGACATGACGTAGACAAAGCAAACTCAACTAATATGAATAAACCTCATCGTTTTACCCTTGATGGCAAGAATACAAATACGTATCTTGTCTCTTTCTGTCACTGTGATATAGAGCACCGCAAGATTGAACCCATCATAAAGCACCTCTCCCACTAAAGATAAATCAATCTAGTTGACCAAACCAAACCGATAGATTGAGAGAAATACAAAGCTATAACAATCATGCATAATAAAGTTAAAAAAGACTCAATTACTTCCCATGAATATTTAAATCATAAACCCACAATTCATCGGATCTCAACAAACACGCCGCAAAAGAAGATTACATCGAATAGAACTCCAAAAACACCGAGGAGAACATTGTATTGAAGATCAAAGAGAAAGAAGAAGGCATCTAGCTACTAGCTGTGACGCCCGGATAATTAAGCTACAGTAATCCCACGCTAATGATGCCACGTCACCACGGTTACTGTTGTTAAACTCGTGATGATTCGAAACCCTTTCAAGGTTCAAATTCAAATTAATGTCAACAATAAAAGTTTTCAAAAGTTAAAACAAAAATGTTCGGGCAGTGCCAAAAATGGCACAGGTAATTATGGTGTAGAAGACGCAATTTTATAAAATACCTAAATGCCCTAAATTGAATAAAACAGAAAAGGAAAAATAAATAAAAAAAAGAAAATACAAAACAGAAACAGAAAAAAAGCCCCCCCTGGACCAGACGGCCCAGCTCGCAGCCAGGCCAGCCCACCTGGCCATCCGGCCGACCCGGCCCGTTCCCCTGGTCGCTCTCCCCCTTTTCTGTTCCCCCGACCAGGGTCGGAACAGGGGCGTGCTTCCGCCGGACCCCCTCGCCGGCGTCGAGGAGGGGATAAGATTGCCACACCCCCGCCCCCTCGATCCCGCCTCCCACTCACCCCGCTCTCTCTCTCGGTGCCTGCGCCTCCCCTCCCCCAGATCCACCTCTCCCCTCTCCTCTCGCCCGATCCCGAGCGCGCTCGCTCCCATGGCCGTGGCCGTCACGTAGCCGTGGCCACCGTCCTCCCCGCACCGCGCCCACGCGTCATCGGGCTCCCTCGTCGCCCGCCTCGTCGTCCCCTACCGTTGATTCGAGCTCCACACCGTCGCAGCGTCGTGGACGAGGTCGTCTTCAACCTACGAACACCGAGCTCCACCGCGTCGGATTCCGCCTCGTCTCTGCGCTCCCGTTCACCGCGGGCCTTTCGTGTGCCACTCTGTGAGCTCCACCCCCTTCTTCTCCCCGTCCTTACTTAACTTCCATGCCATAGCTAGTCGTGCGCGACGCACCACCATTGCCGGGCTACGGCTCCGCCGTCAAGCTCGCCGTCGCGGTCACCGCACGCGCGGCTCTCGTCCGACCGCGTAACCGTGCTCACTGCACCACCGCGACACCGTAGCACCCTCCAGTACACCCTCTTGTGCCTCCTAACGCCGTCCCCGACGAGCGCCCGAACACTTCACCGCGGAGCTCGCCGCCGGCAAGGCTCCGGTGACCTTTTGGTCACGGGCTCAACCCCGCTGCATTTCCCACGCCGCGTAGGCCTCGCCCCGCTCTCCGGTTTGCCCAAAACTGCCCCATATCATCGTTGTTGTCGCTCTCCCGGAGCACCTCGCCGCCGGCGAGCTCGTAGCGCTCGCCTCCGTCCGTTCCAACCCCTCTGGCCACCACCGCTCGAGGCGCGACGCCGAGCCGCGTCGAACGCGCCCGGCCACAGCCTAGAAGACCCCCTGGGCGCGAAACCCGCGTTCCTCCCAAGCCGCGCCGCCGCAGTTTGCCTCGTCGGCGACGTTCCGGCGCCGTCCGCCGACGTGGCTAGGCAGGCCCCCACCCCTGGGTCACTGCCAGTGGGCCATGGGGGCCCCGTTGACTGGATTGACCCAGTCAACGTGCTGACGGGGCAGCCCAGTGGCACTGGCATGCGGGGCCCATGCCATAAACAAATAAAATAAATAGATAATTGGCTAATTAATTAAATAAATAAATTAAAACCTAATCTCTCACTGACTACCGGGCCCCACCCACTAATTAGCCTATTTAGTTAGTTTTAAAAACTCTGTTAGTACCCTGTCAATGACATGTGGGTCCCACTGGACCCATCCATCTGGTTTGACTGGTCAACCGACCAGTTGACATGCTGACATCACTCTGATGTCATGCTGACGTCATCATTTACTATTCTGGATAATGCTGGATTTAAATAATTAATTAAATTCCTGAAAATGAGTTAAATCTTTAGAAAATCATATCTTTTAATCCGTAACTCGGATGAAAATACTTTCTACATGAAAGTTGCTCAGAACGACCAGATGAATCCGGATAAGCAGTCCGTTCGTCCGCCACACCCCCTAACCTATCGAACTTGCAACTTTCCCCCTCCGGCTCCTCTGCCCGAAAACACGAAACACCGGGGATATTTTCCCGGATGTTTTCCCCCCTTAACCGGTACCACCTCATACCACGTTAGGGCACGCCTAGCATCGTTACTTGTCATGTCATGCATCGATATGCATATGTTTGCATGGTATTCATTGTTTCTTCCCCCTCTTCTCTCCGGTAGACCACGAGACCGACGCTGCTGCTGCCCAGTTCGACTACGGAGTTGACGACCCCTCTCTCTTGCCAGAGCAACAAGGCAAGCCCCCCCCTTGATCACCAGATATCGCCTATTCTACTCTATGCTGCTTGCATTAGAGTAGTGTAGCATGCTACTGCTTTCTGTTATACCTATCCTGATGCATAGCCTGTCCTTGATACTACTGTTGTTACCTTTACCTGCAATCCTATATGCTTAGTATATGATGCTAGTATATTCATCTGTGGCCCTACATTCTTGTCCGTCAGCCGTGCTATACTATCGGGCCGTAATCACTCGGGAGGTGATCACGGGTATATACTATATACTTTATACATGATACATGTGGAGACTAAAGTCGGGTCGGCTGGTGGAGCACCCGCGAGTGGATCTTTGTGGCGGAGCGACAGGGCAGGTTGAGACCGCCTAGGAGAGAGGTGGGCCTGGCCCTGTTCGGAGTTCGCGGATACTTAACACGCTTAACGAGATCTTGGTATTTCATCTGAGTTGGCTACGAGCCTATACGCACTAACCATCTACGCGGGAGTAGTTATGGGTATCCCGACATCGTGGTATCAGCCGAAGCACTTCGTGACGTCAGCGACTGAGCGGCGCGCGCCGGGTTGGACTGCGTTAACGCAACTTCCTTTGTAATGGAGGTTGCTAGGTCTGCTCACCGGCCGCGTACGCAACGTGCAGGTGTGCTCAGGGCGATGGGCCCAGACCCCTACGCGCTTAGGTTTAGACCGGCGTGCTGGCCTCTCCGTTGAGCCTAGGTGGGGCTGCGACGTGTTGATCTCCCGCGGCCGGGCATGACCCAGGAAAGTGTGTCCGGCCAAATGGGATCAAGCGTGCTGGGTAAGTTGGTGCACCCCTGCAGGGAAGTTAATCTATTCGAATAGCCGTGATCTTCGGTAACAGGATGACTTGGAGTTGTACCTTGACCTTATGACAACTAGAACCGGATACTTAATAAAACACACCCTTCTAAGTTCCACAGACAACCCGGTGATCGCTTTTCCACAGGGCGACGAGGGGAGGATCGCCGGGTAGGATTATGCTATGCGTTGCTATCGAAGATGCTACTTGGAGATGCTACTTGGAGGACTTTAATCTACTCTCTTCTACATGCTGCAAGACGGAGGCTGCCAGAAGCGTAGTCTTCGATAGGACTAGCTATCCCCCTCTTATTCTGGCATTCTGCAGTTCAGTCCACCGATATGGCCTCCTTACACATATACCCATGCATATGTAGTGTAGTTCCTTGCTTGCGAGTACTTTGGATGAGTCCTCACGGTTGCTTTCTCCCCCCTTTTTCCCTCTTTCCTTTCTTTCTGGTTGTCGCAACCAGATGCTGGAGTCCAGGAGGCAGACGCCACCGTCAACGACGACTACTACACTGGAGGTGCCTACTACTACGTGCAGGCC